GAAAGAGAGGAAGGGAGAGAGAAGACAAAACAAAACATCGATTTGTTGTTCCACTTATTTATGCATTCATTGATTACTTCTTGTATGTGCCCTGACCCAGGATCAAACTCACAACCGTGGCATATCAGGATGATGCTCTAACCAACTGAACTACCTGGCCAGGGCCAAGATTTTATTTTGTCTTTTTAAAATATATTTTATTGATTTTTTACAGAGAGGAAGGGAGAGGGATAGAGAGTTAGAAACATCGATGAGAGAGAAACATTGATCAACTGCCTCCTGCACCCCCCTCCCCACTGGGGATGTGCCTGCAACCAACATACATGCCCTTGACCGGAACTGAACCTGGGACCTTTCAGTCCGCAGACCGACGCTCTACCACTGAGCCAAACCGGTTTCGGCTGGTATTGCATGTTTTAAAATTCTTGTTGCACATGGGTTGAAAATCGCTGAGCTAGAGGGATAGATCCTAAGAATTCTATTTTTGGGAAAATGTCTTCCTAGGTGGGTCATTTGGGGTGGATCTCCTAGGAAACTAGTTTGGTGAGTTCTTTTTTCCTTCACCTCCTCCCTGTGCAGACCTGGGGTTCAACGCATGGGTGTGAGTTGCTGGGTGGCAGCTGGTGCTAAGGGTACCACCCTCACCATGAGGGCAGAGCAGGAGAACTGGCAAGGTGATGGTGATAGGATCTCTGGTGATGGGGTGAGGAAATGGGAGTCATTGTCAGGTAAAGGGCGGCAGTAGCTGTAAAACTGATCTCCACCTTCCCCTGTGATTCCATCCCTCTCACCTGCCCTGGTTTCTGCCTTTCATCCTCTAAGTCCTACTGTTTCCCAAAGTGTGGTACGCGTACCCCCAGGGGTACGGGAAGAGTTTAGTGGGGGTACGCGTTGCACCGGAGTTTGGTGGGGATATGCACTGCACCGTGCTTAGCTGCGCCTAATTCTACGTTCTCATGAGTACGAGGGGTACTCAGCGTTACAAAAATTATAGAAGGGGTACACATATGTCAAAAGTTTGGGAAACACTGCCTAGGATCTAGAATAGGTCGTGACCCACAGGCTGAGAACCGCTGCTGTAGAGCCTAAGACCACAGATATTTACATTACGATTCATAACAGTAGCAAAATTACACTTATGACATATCAACTAAAATAATTTTATGGTTGAGGAACTGTATTAAAGGGTTTCAGCATTAGGAAGGTTGAGAATCGCTGCCCTAGGTAGACACAAGTTTTCTTCTTCTCCCAAAAGGGTTTTCCTGTTACTCCTTCCCTCTCCACTCACTGTCGTGTGACTTCTGCCCGCCCTACCCTTCCCCTGAAGCTGCTCCCTCTAAAGTCACGGCTCACCCAGTCTGCCAACCTCAGTCCTACTTTCTGACGCTTTCAGTCCCATTCCTCATCTTCTCCTTGCCTTCCTGAGATTCCAGGACATCATTCCCCACACCAGCTGGGCCCAGTCTTTAAATGTTAACTGTTTCCAGCCTGGCCAGTGTTGCTCAGTGGTTGAACATCATTCCATACACCAAGAGGTCACTGGTTGGATTTCCAGTCAGGTTGCTGTTTCGATATCCAATTTTTTTTTTTTGGGTGGGGGGCCTGCAGGAGGATGTTTCTCATTGATGTTTCTAGCTCCCTCTCCCTGAAATCAATAAAAACATTTAAAAAAATGTTACTGTTTCCAGAATGAATGCTACTCCCGGACAGCATGTTTGTAAGAAGTTGTAAAAGGCACACCATAACAGGAGCCAGGGGGCATCTTCCAGAGCTTGAACTGGGTTTCAGGCTCCATTCACCCCACTCAGCCTGGCACACTGGTGCATGAGCACCCTGTACAGCCTCATGCTGCCACCCAGGGTGCTATGCTTGGTCCTCATCTCTTTTTTGCTTGACTCTCCTTTCCTCTGCAAATTTGCTGCTTTCGTTACACCAAGACCTTTGTGTCCCACTTAATCCCTAGACATCTTTTTCCTTTCTCCGTTTTGTTGTTAATCCTCACCTGAGGATATCTTTTCCATTTATTTTACAGAGAGTGTGGAAGGATGGGAGGATGTGGAAAGAGAGAGATGAGAGCAAGAGAGAGAGCAACATCAACCTAAGAGAGACACATTGATTGGTTGCCTCCCTCACAAACCCCAACCAGGGCCAGGGATCAAACCTGCAATCCAGGTATGTGTCCTTGACTGGGAATAGGACCCACAATTCTGTGGGTCTGCAGGCCGACGCTCTAACCACTGAGCTCGCTGTCCAGGGCTCTAGACATCTTTAAATCGGCCTTCTGGACTTCTCTTCCTGGGTGTCCTGTGAGAACACCAGGCTTGCTAAGGCCCAAACTGAATTCATCCCTGCTCATTCCATACCCCCTATCATGTCTATTTTTCTGTATCCCCTCTCTTGGTGGATGATATCACCATCCATCCTCATATTCAACCGAAAACTTCCAGGTTATCAGTGCCTCTTCCCTTTCCACGGTTTAAGGCTTTTGTCATCTCCCAAAGGGGCTCCTAGGATGCCCTTCTACCTAGTTGCCCTACCTCTCGAATCTCTCTCCTCCAAACCAGCCTCCCACTGGCGTTAGGTTCCTTTCATAGAACTAAGCCTATTCTCCTTTGTTTAAGAACTTGTTTTGGCTTCTCATTGACCACAGACTGAAGTCCAGGTGCTCAGGCATAGCATATAAAACCCTTCACATCCTGACCCAAACCTACCTTGCTAGTCCTACACCTTACCCGTGCTCTCAGCACCTTCCTCGCTCTTAACCACATCAAACTCTGATTCAGTTTCCAGAGCGTGACTTCGCCGTGTGCTCTAATTCCTCTGTGCCTTTGCCGGTGCCTTACACATCTTTCTTCTGTTGTTTGCCTGGTAAAGCCCATCCACTCTTTAAGATTATGCTTACTTGTCTTTTGTTTTGTTTTGTTTTGTTTTTTGTTTTGTTTTAAGGCACCTCTGATCCTCATTAACAGCTCTCCTTACTGTATCTACAGCACTACAAGTATGCTAGTATTGGGTGTCTAAAGTTATTCTGCATCTTTCCCATTACATTGTGAGTTTCTTAAAGGCAAGATGAAGTTTTGGTAGTCTCCCTTTCATCAGCAGCTTGCCCAGTGTCTGGTATGTCGCAGATATTGAATAAAAATGCTACGAACTGAATTGGGCAAAATGCTTGAACATCATTTTGTGAAACGACCGATGATTTCTTTCAGCATAATTTCCAGCCTGTTCCTTTCCTTCAAGCATGAGAAGGATCTCAGAATAAGACAGCTAATTGGCCCTGTTGGAGATAGTTGCTATGGACACATCCCCAAGCATTAGCTAGGTCTCTCTAGGGATACGGGGGCTGTGACTTCTCAGATGACTGACTGGTGTCTGAGTGTGGATTTTTCCATATGTGAAAGTTCCTTAGAACCAGAGATGATTTCCAAAGTAGGACCTAGATTCTAGGTTCCACAGAAGACTCTCACTGTCCTGAGAGGAGACGGGGTTTTCAATGATAAGGAAGATGTATTTGTTTATCACCTGTGGGTCCCATCCCATCATCTCGCTAAGGGTTGAGATTTCAGAGCACAAGAACAATACCTAAGGACTTCACCATGGCAAAGCCTGGGAAAACAGCTGCGTTATTTGGGGGTGGGGGGCTGGGCGGGAGCTCATTTGCAGGTTTTGAACAGCACCTGGCCAAACAGCATAGATGCTGAAGACGGACTTCTGTTACTCCCTTTGGTTAAACCACACAGTACACGCTGGTCTCGGGAGGGGACACCAACTCCATGAAGCCAGAACGAACAGCTCTTTTCAAATGAGCAGGTGCCTATTTGCAGAACCGTGGTAGCAGCTTCTGAGAGGGTGGGAGAGAGCAACTTCTCCTCAATACAAGCACTGGGTTCTGACTAGAATGCGAGCAACACGTTGCATTGAAAATGCAGTGAGTGATGGGTCAGCAAAGGACGCTCTACACAGAGCGAGCCTTCTGGCTCCAGCCGGGTTGCTGAGCATCCTCCATAAGCCAAGGTTGCGGCTCCCCAGCATTGGATTTGGGGTCAGGGCACATACTAGTCCAAGAAGCACCCAATGAACGCACAACGAAGTGGGACAACAAATCGAAGTTTCTCTCTCTCCCTCACTCTCTAACATTAACCAATAAACAAAAATTTAAAGCATACCCTGTTCAGCCGAGTTGGCCCTGTTGGAGATGGTCACATCCCCAAACATTAGCTTGTGGATGGCTCAGTGGATAGAGCGTCGTCTGTGAACTGAAGGGCCCCAGGTTCGATTCTGGTCAAGGGCATGTACCTTGGTTGCGGGCACATCCCCAGTAGGGGGTGTGCAGGAGGCGGCTGATGGATGTTTCTAACTCTCTCCCTTCCTCTCTGTGGAAAATCAATAAAAATATATTTTAAAAAAATACTCTGTTCAAAGGAGCCTTTAGGTACCTTGTTCTTATGTGTGGCTAGCTGACCGGTCCTGTGCCCTGTGCTTAGCGTGCGGCCCCGGCGCCGCCCCTGCAGGCTCTGCAAAGGCTGCACCGAGTCCCTTCCTCAGGGCGAGCACGCGCTGCGGGCGGTTCCCCCGGGCGCCCCGTGGCCGGAAGCGGGGTCCAGCGGGCGGAGGATGAGGACAGGGGGGTGGGGGGGAAGGAGGAGGGAAGGCTGGGGCGGGCCCGGCCTCGGAGCCTCCCGGGGACACGGCCGCCCCGCGCGCGTCAGCCGCCGCCCGCCCCCGCAGCCCGCCCCGGAGCCCGGCCTCCCGCTGACTCAGCAACGCGAGGGCGGGAGGTTTGTCCCTCCGCGGACCCCGTTTCTCCCGGGCCCCAGCCCGCCGCCGCCGCCGCCGAGCCCATTTCCTCTTTCCGGCACCCGGGTGCGAGGGCAGGTCGGGACTCCGAGGCAGCGATCGCGATCGCCGTGCAGCCCGGGCGCTCGCCTGAGGACCCCAGACCCACCGTTCCCGGCCTGAGGACCCCCAGACCCACCGTTCCCGGCCGGCAGCGCGGCGCCATGAGCAGCGCGGGTGAGGCGCCCGCTGCCCCCGCGCCGGCCGGTCCTGCCCCGCTGCGCCGCCGGGTCCCGGGGGAGGCCGGGCGGCGCGAAGGGCTGGGGCTGGGGCTGGGATCGGGAGAGCCAGGGTGCGGGGGAGTCCCAGATCCACTCTCCTCGGCCCCTGTCTGCTGGTATAATCCCCACGGGTCCCCCCACAGGGCTGAATTCGGAGAAGGTAGCTTCCCTGATCCAGAAGCTGAACGCCGACCCCCAGTTCGTCCTGGCCCAGAATGTGGGCACCACCCACGACCTGCTGGACATCTGTCTGAGGAGGGCCACGGTCCAGGCGACCCAGCACGTGTTCCAGCACGCCGTGCCCCAGGAGGGCAAGCCAGTCACCAACCAGAAGGCCTCAGGTGGGCTCCGAAACTTCCCGCCCGCTCCCCCGGGCCTTCCTGACTGTCCCATCTGAATAAGAAAGTCTTAGCGGAGCAGAGGTTTGTACTGAAAGAAATGGTAGTCAAATGCTTGGAGAACAGGTTACCGGGAAAGGCAGGGTTCAAGTACTGGACTTGGTGGCTTGTTAGGGTATTGTGTTTGAGCACTGACATGGTGAGTCCATGGTCACCTGTTTGAATGGAATGCATAATGCTCTGTGCTGGTTAAAAGATTGCATACCCACATCCTGGAGATATATGCTCTTGGTACAAAACAGACCAAGCAAAAATGATCATTTCCTAGGGGACACCCCCAAATTGCCTTGAAGGCCATAGGCACGTGTAAAAAATGGAAAAGGCAAAAGGTAGTTGCATCAACATGTCATCACATGTTAGTTTTAAATGTGCTTTGTGGTCGCAACTTGAGCAAATTTTGGCCCAGATAAGATCAATAGGCCAGTTTGTACATACAGAGAAATACCCAGTTCTCATGTCTTACTGATCGAGACTTCTTGTTTTCCTGTCTACTGCCTGGCACTACTGTCAGAAAAACAGCTGCAGTGAAAGGAATCTAAGAGAGGAGGACAGTCTCACAGCAGAATTATACAAAAAGGACATTACTCTGGAATGGCCTCAATTTGTACTAGTTTTAGATGCTTATAGAGATCAATGGATTGAATCACATTTTTTAAAGACGAAAAATGTGGACACAGTATATTCCTGGATATTGTAGATACACCTCCTAAAGTAAAGGTTGCTTAAGTCAGAACAGGAAATGGCAACATTGTAGAGTTGGTGATTATCCCCTTACAGGGCAAAGGAAGAGTGTGATTGTGTAGTTGAGGCATGGTGTGAAGTGTGCAGAGGCAGCATCATGAATGGATTCAAAGCATTGCTGTGATCCAGACCTACTGGGTGGAAGAAAAATGATGTGTTCTGATCGAAAGAGTGGACCTAATCGTGGCAGAGGCTCTGATGCTAAGATGCATGTGGAGAATATTTTAATTCTCAATGGGAGAAGGGGAATTGATTTATGTTAGAGTTACCTTCTATTAAAGCAGCCTATCTAAAAAAGAGGGAATATGCTAATTGACCATCACACCCTCACAAAGATCGCAATGCCCACAGCCAGTGAGGGAATATGCTAGTTGACTGCCATGCCCTCAAAGATGGCAGCACCCACAGCCACAAGATGGTGATGCCCAGTCCTCTCAGCCCCACCAAGGCGCCTGCCTCTGGAGTCCCCCAGTCCTCTTAGCCCTCTAGCCACGCAGGTCTGGCCTGAGGCTCAGGCAAGCCTCAGGTGGCGGCTGCCTAGCCGACACCCAAGATGCAGTCAAGCCTTGAATGGTGGCTGCCCAGGGCCAGTTGAGGCTTGCGCTGCCGGCAGTAGCAGCAGTAAAGGTGTGATGGGGGCGTCACCTTCCCCTGATCGCTGGGTCACCTCCCGCCTCTGAGGGCCCCTGGACTGTGAGAGGGGGCAGGCCGGGCTGAAGGGTCCCCCATCTAGTGCATGAGTTTTCATGTTTTGGACCTCTAGTATACTAGATATTCCAAATTAAAGTGTTGGGTCTTTTAAAGTTTTTTACTGTGTATGGCCACATTGCCTTCAGATATTCAGTATCTGTTTAGATTGCTATCCAGAGAATATCATAATGCTGTTTCCCCAAATTCTTGCCAATATTGGGCCCTATAAATTAAAAAATGTTTCCCCACTTAATAGGTGTTTTATAATGAACTTAAAAGTTTTTGTCACCCCTTATGTCGTTTTGGACATTAAATTATCTGTGATCTTTGCTCATGTTTCTCATTAGAAATCAGTATTTCTAATGTGATTTTCCTAATTGGTTTGTTATGGATTTTTTAAAAAATATATATATTTTATTTATTTTCCACAGAGAGGAAGGAAGAAGGATAGAGAGCTAGAAACGTTGATGAGAGAGTAACATCGACCAGCTGCCTCCTGCACATCCCCCACTGGGTATGTGCCCGCAACCAATATACATGCACTTGACCGGAATCGAACCCGGGACCTTTCAGTCCACAGCCGACGCTCTATCCATTGAGCCAAACCAGTTTCGGCTGTTATGGATTCTTTATGTGATATGTAAAGAGATTTTTTTATATATTAAGATTATGCTTTTGCATATATATAATGAAAAATAGTAATTATTACTGTTCTTGTTTTGTTTGAATATTTCTGCTTTCTTTTTTTTTTCTTTTTTTTTTAAATATTTTTTAAAATATATTTTATTGATTTTATACAGAGAGGAAGGGAGAGAGACAGAAAGCTAGAAACATCGATGAGAGAGAGTCATCGATCAGCTGCCTCTTGCACACCCCCTACTGGGGATATGCCCACAACCAAGGTATATGCCCTTGACCGGAATCGAACCCGGGTCCCTTCAGTCCCCAAGCCGACGCTCTATCCGTTGAGCCAAACAGGTCTTGGCTATTTCTGCTCTTTCTGATGTAGTCTTAAATTATTCAAGATCTTGTCATGAGTTCATTGTTGGGAAATACAATATAACCTATGTGAACACTCATAATTTCTTGGTTTGCTTTCTTGTTTCAGGGCGATGCTGGATCTTTTCTTGTCTGAACGTTATGAGACTTCCACTCATGAAAAAATTAAATATTGAAGAATTTGAGTTTAGTCAGTCTTACCTCTTTTTCTGGGACAAGGTATTGAACTGATCTTGCAAGATTCTTTTTGTTTTACTCTCAACCTTAATCGAGACTATCTCTTCATGTCTTGCTTTTCAAGTTGTAGTCCTACTTCCATTTATAGATGTGACACCATTTATTCTGATTTCCAAAGTATCAGAAGTTGACTATTTCAAAGGCAGAACTGCTTTTGGTTGGTAGGTGGCTACATTTTGCATTCTTTCTCTGGGTGGTACTTGACTGAAAACAGTAACCCCACCTGAAGCAATTTTATTCAATATTTTAAATCTTTAAAAGGTATATTATGTAAATGCCCATTAGATGTTTATTGATTGAAGGCTCTAAATATCAGATTTTATTTAAAAATAAAGCATTGTCTTGTTTTGCCTAGAATGTATACACTCAGATATAAGAAGAAACTGTAAATATTTTATGAGCCCAAATACTGATATTTAGTTACCTACTTTAGATTTAAAATATCTACTGTGTACACCTGAAACTAATACAATGTTATGTCAATTATGCTTCAGTTAAAAAACAAAACAAAACAAAATCCCAACCTGAAACAAATGTCAATTATACAAGAGTGGGCAAGAATAGGTTTTATAATACTGATCTTGTGCATACTATTGTAATAATCATAACCTGCATGTCTTTCCACACGAACAACTGTAAACCTACTTTTGCCAACCCCTCAATTAAAAACTTGGATCCACAGTAGTTCCAAGATTCCTACTACCCATGTTTCCCCGAAAATAAGACCTAGCGCATGGAAAGATAAGACATCCTCTGAAATGAGACCTAGCACAACTTTGGGGGGAAAATTAATATAAGACACTGTCTTATTTTCGGGGAAACAGGATATTCTGTTGACAATGCAAATAAAGGTATTCACTATCTTTTCCTTTAATCTAATCTAACTTCTCTACTCTAGGTTGAACGCTGTTACTTCTTCTTAAATTCGTTTGTGGACACCGCCCAGAAAGAAGAACCTGAGGATGGCAGGCTGGTGCAGTATTTGCTCTCGAATCCTGCAAATGATGGTGGACAATGGGATATGCTTGTCAATATTGTTGGTAAGAGCCTTTCTCTTAATGGAAGTGATAATTAAGTAAGCATAATTAAGTAAGGTTCTGTAGTTAAGCATAGAGCATTTCTTTGGTGGTTATGTACAGAATAGAATTGATTTTCCAGAAGGGTGTATAGTTAGCTCTAAGAACTTTTATCTCATGCTCACCTATAATGTAGCTTTTTTTTTTTTTTTTTAAATCCTCACCCGAGGATATGTTTTCATTGATTTTTAGAGAGAAAGGGAGAGGGAGAGAAACATCGATTGGTTGCCTCTCATATTCACCTCAACCAACCAGGGATCAAACCAGAAACCTGGGTATGTGCCCTGGCCAGGAATTGAACCTGCAACCTTTTGGTGTATGAGATGATGCTCCAACCAACTGAACCACCTGGCCAGGAGTGGTGAGATAGGTACTGTGAAGAATGGTTTGGAGAAGGAAAAAGTTGTATTATCTAGCGCTAACCTTCTATAAAAAAGCTTATCTCTTGTTCATTGGTGTAATCAAGAAACACATTGAAACTGCAGCTGTTTGAAAATGTCCTTATTCTAAAAAGGGTTGTCTTGAGAAAACCTCATCATGCTGAGCACTTTACAAAATACGTTACATAAAAAGAGTAGAATTAATTCTAAGATGGATGGATAAGTAAGGTGATCAAATAATCTGTTTGACTTTATGAAGCATATGATTATTAAATTTTCTGAATTAGACCAACATAATATGGCCTGATTTTTTTTTTTGCATTTGCTCATACTTTTTTTTTTTAATCTATCTTTATTGTTCATATTATTACAAAAGTTCCTCATTTTTCCCCCCTCCACCAGGTTCCCACCCTCTGTCCTTTCCCTACCCCTCATTGTCCTCATCCATAGGTGCACAGTTTATGTTCAGTCTCTTCCCGCATCCACCACTCCCCCCCCCCAGAATTGTCAGCCCACTCCCCTCCCATATCTCTGATTCTATTATAACCAACAGTTAATATTGTTCATCAGGTTTTTTAATTTCCTTGTGTTTTTTTTTAAATTAATAAACTTTTATATTTTTAAGAATAAATTTTAAAATCTAATAATTTTAAACCTTGTTTTTTCTGCCCTGGGAACTGAGAAGCAAACTTGTTTACATGTAAACTTGCCCTTGGGCTATCAAACTTTGTAGCCATTCAAATGTAAATGAACACATTGTTTAAAGATAGCTGCTGGCTGGAATTGGATCTGGGTGGGAAAGGCATGTCCTCCCCTTTCTCCATTAAAATTAAGGTGTTAGCTTTAAAACCTCTTTTTGGCAAGAGACCTTAAACTTTCAGAACTTTAAATTTTTCAGGTAGCAAATCAATTACTTAGCATTTTCTCAAATCAATAATACCTCCACATTCCCAAGGATACACTTCAAACAAAAGACACATCCAAATAGATCAACCAACCTCATCTAGACCCCACATAAGGCACTCACAGATCAACACCCCAGCACTACAACAACTCAACACATCCAGATCTAAGCCTTCATCACTTGATTCAGCAGACCCTCAAGTTCCCCCAAAAGTTTCCAGCCATGTCTGAGAGGCAGCCCTGTGAGCTGTTCCAGCCTGGCTGCTCTGGGCCCGTCTGCTGCCGCTCTGAGCCTGGCTGCTGTTGCTCCGGGCCTGACTACACCCGACCCGGCTACTTTGGGCCCGGCTGCTCCGGGCCCGGCTGCTCCGGGCCCGGCTGCTCCGGGCCCAGCCGCTCCGGGCCTGGCCGCTCCCGGAATATGGCCTGATTTTTAAAGCAATGGCTATTTTTGGCCAGGCTTACTAATGTTGGAATGCTAGAGTATACTTTTACCTTACTGAACACTAAAATTTATTTTCTTTTAGAAAAATATGGTGTAGTTCCTAAGAAGTGCTACCCTGAATCTCATACAACAGAGGCAACCAGAAGGATGAATGACATTCTGAACCACAAGGTACAACATATAGGGCAGTTTGGGGTTGGATTATTACCTTAAATCTTCCAACTGATTTTCTAAGAGGATCTGTGGGTATTTCAGTGTACAGTTGATACACAAGTTGGCTAACCAGGATCTCTCAAAAGCAATGTAGGCACATATTACTTTAAAAATAATTGAGATTAGGGTGTGTGTGTTTTTTCTTCCACTTTTATTTCTATTGATCCTAATTTTTTCTCTTGGGTACTTAGGAAAGGAAGTCCTGTTTTAGTTAATATGGACCAGAAGCACACTGGGTACTGTGCCTCTCACTTGACTCCAGTGGAGATGGGCTGGACAGGTTTTTGTACCAGCAAAACAAAAAACTGAGACTTCCTTAAAGAATATGCTGAGTTCAAAGGGTTCCCCAACCATATCAGCGTAGTTTATTCGTACACTAAAGATTTGATGTAGTCACTGAACTGCTTTTTATTGCTTCATTTATCTTAAGTCATTATGTCTTCTCCACATAACCCATTTTCCAGGGAGGATTCTAAATCCTACAGGGATGCCAGTCAGACATCTTTTTTGAGAACTGAGAGTTGTCAGGTGAACCTGCTATCCTACTCTATGAGACAGTTGAATTTGGCATCCCTGGGAGAAAGCTTACATTTTAAAATAAACTGTAGATGTGTTTCCCCAACGTTAGAAGTAGATTATTTTCCACCCAGAAAACACTGGGGGTTCTTAATCCACAGGCTAAGAGATCATCAATAGTATAGCTTTGGGTCCCATTTCAGATAACAGCAAAATCCTCTTTAGCATCTCTAAATCTTTGGCATCTCTAAAAAATCAAAACTACAGTGGGGGCTGGCATAGTCATGGTCATAATGATTTGGCAGAGTAGTAGACAACCAGTAAAGTTTTAAGTAAAAATCTGTGAAGTGATTTAATGGCATAATCATTATACGTCTCCTGCTTTTTCTAAGGAAAGTAGACTGGTTGAGGAAAAACACATTTGCTTTTATGAACTTTGCCCTGGGTCTTGGCTGAGATATTCTTCAAAAAGAACTAGCATTGGTCTGTTAGGTTCATTTACAGTTGAATTTGGTAAATATTGTGGTGATGAGTAACTTTCTGTTCTGTTCTAGATGAGAGAATTCTGTATACGACTACGGAACCTCGTACATAGTGGAGCCACCAAAGAAGAAATCTCAACCACACAAGATGCCATGATGGAGGAGGTAATGACCATTATTTAGATTTTTTGTGACCCTTCTAAAGAACACTCAGAATATTCCCATCTCTTAAACTGAATAGGAAGTATAGTCATTGCAATAAATGTTGGATTGAATTGAAATTTACTTATTTCACAGTTGGAAAAACCGAGGTAGACTTTGCATTTTAGTGTGGGACCTGTACGTACTTCCATCTTCTAATTACCAGCTTAGCAATCTATTTTATTCATTTAATATTGAATACTTTCTCTGAGTTTGACACAAGGAATACAAAGATGAGAAAGATAATCTCTACTCTCAAGGAGCTCGATCTCTTGAGAAAAAGAAACACATGGATAATTATAAATCCTATGCTAGAGACCATTCTAAACAAAAGAAATATCGTGAACAAAAGTGGAATTCTCCGAGAATAGTGTAGCTGAAACATAAATTTTGTAAGTGTGATTGGTAGCAAATTAAGCTAGAAAGGCAGAGCTGTGAGGGATCTTAGGAGAACAAGGACTTATGGCTTTATTCTATAGGAATAAAGATGAGAATAATATATATATGTGTAATAATATATTGATGGCTATATCAGAAAACATTAGGAAAACCTAAAAAGCATTAAACAAATATAAGGTGGTAATATTTATTATCAAAGCAGTTAAGAATATTATTTAAGTCTTAGCCAGTGTGGCTCAGTTGATTATATGTCCTGTATACCGAAAAGGCATATGGTAGGTAACCATCATGAACATCAATGTTTCTCTATCTATCTCCCTTCTTATCTCTTTAACAAATATCCTTGGGTGATAAGGGGAAAAAAAAAAGGAGAATATTACTTAATACCTTCCACAATCCAGATGCATATGCATAAACCTCTGAAATTGCTTTGAGAAAAACATCATTTCCCTTTTCCATCTAGTGGACCCATTACTAGGAATTGCTCAACTAACAATTTTCTTTTACTGCAGTGGACAACACTGATGTTTCCCTTTGAATTTTAGAAAGGAAGTATAGTGTATTTGAAAACACGGTCTGGAGTCAGACTGTCTGTGTTCTGATCTCATTACTTAACAGCCTTGTGACCTGAGTCAGCTCCCAAGTGTCAGTTTATTCAAATGCATAGCCCATCTTTAATTGTTTCTTATGTTGAATGAATGAATGCAGAGATTTCATCTCGCCAAATACATTTAAATTATCTCATACTTAACTTTTTACTTCTTAAATGTTCTTATTTAAGAGAGGCATCTGGATGTAGTAGAAAAAAATAATTAGGTGGGCATGGGTTTCAATTCTAGTTCTATCACTTAATAGTTCTGTGATTTTGGGTAAGATACTTAATCTGTCTACGGTTCAGTTTGGGACTTAAAATATATTCTTCATTGAATTTTTGTGGGAATCAAACAAGAAATTATGTATAAGGATGCAAGCATAATGCCTGACACATAGCAGTTGTTCAATAAATGTTAGTTCTCTTTCCTTCTTGCTTGGATTGATTTCCCTTGTTGAGGCCATAACTCTGCATATCTTGCTTTCATTCATGATTATAGTAAGATGGTGGGATCTGGTAAGGATGAAGTTTCTATAAACAGTTATAGAAAAGGACCCAGACAATATTTGTTGCAGATCATAAACATCCTGTTGCCTTTTGATGTTTATTTTAATGATCTTTTAAAGGATATATCTAAGGTCTACTCCTGATCATGGGATTGACTGATAAGAATCAGGGCAGATATGTTTTACATATCTTTCTTACTCTACTCCTACCTTGGAAAAATAGTAAGACCTTATCATACCAAATCCCGAGTATAGATACTTTTAGGATTATTTACTTAATGATTCTGCCTAAACTGTTGACTACAGAATTCTGTATGGTAGATTTTTAGATTTTACAGTCTTTAAATGACTCCTCTTTATTGAACATGACTCTTTGGTAATGAGGGGTGTAGCTATGATTTTAAAGCCACTGATTAGTACTTATGATATGCCTAGCTTTGTAGGCATATCAAAATGATGATTAACAGTCATGAAGCCTGGAAAACTTTGAATGAAAAGGGTTTCTGCTTAAGGCATTCTTTCTGAGGGACGACAAGTATAGGTTGCTTTGTGAGATGACAGATAAGTCAGATTTGTTTTGGAAACATGTTGTTACCTCTATTGCAGTGTTTTCTCAGTGCATCTACTCTTTCTTAGCCTCCAGATCCCCTTAGGATTATTAATGTATTATCTACAAAAACTCTGTTCAAAGACAAAACATAAAACAAAGACTAGAAAGAATATCTGTCAGTGCCATGAAAAGAGACAAGAAGCCATTATTATTTGCTTCGGAAATTCTACAGCAGTGGCTCTCAGATCTTAACAACATTACATAGTTGTAGACTTACTCTAGACCTACAAAAGTTATTTCCCTGAGAAAATCCTAGTTATCTATATTTTTACTTTTTATTTTAAAGACATCTGATTAAAAAAAATTTTAATGTAAAAAGGTATACAGCCCTTATCGGTTTGGTCCAGTGGATAGAGCGTCAGCCTACAGACCAAATGGTCCCAAGCTCGATTCCAGTCAAGGGCATGTACCTCCGTTGCACGCTTCTCCCCAGCCCAGGCAGTGTTTGGGGTCAGGGCTCTTGCAGGATGCAACCGATTGATGTGTTTCTTTCACATCGATGTTTCTCTCTGTCTTTCTCTCTCTCTTCCATTCTAAAAAAATCAATGGGAAAATATCCTCAAGTGAATAGTCAGTTTCCCATAGTGTTCTCCATCCTTCAAGTTCCCGCACACCCCAAATTGATTTTTTTTGTTATTATATTTATCCTTCCAGAGAAGGTTTTTTCAAAGGTTACCATGAAGAGGAGGAGTATTGCCTTTAAAGTGCCTGATCCCAAGGCACAGGCCAGTTGGAATGGGGTTTCAAGCAAATGGATAGTCATTGAGCTCAGGAAAAAAGAATGATCTAGCAACGTAATAATGATGATAGTGCAGATAGCTGAAGCCTTGGGAGTGGTTGATTCCCCTGAGAGAGAATAGAAGGATAGAACAAGTCTGAACAAAGAATTCTGGAAAATACATATTTTTGTAAAACATCTCTTCCTATAAAAACAAGTGCCAGAACTATGTTCTGATGTAGATACTGGTCATCAGTGTCAGGTGCTGCAGAGAGGTCCACAAGTCTGAAGACTGAGAAAAGGCTGCTGGATTTCCTGAAACGGCTGTTTGTAGAATAGTGTCAGTGGAATGGAGAAGGGAAGGAGCTAGATGGAGAGGAGGGCATCATGTCAAGAAACGGAAGATAGTTTTGAGAAGGTTAACGGTGGAGAGAAGGAAAAAATTGATACTGATTAATTTCACAAGTGTTTATTGAGTATCTACTAAGTGTTAAGCATTTATAGATGACATATTATATATAATATAGAAAGCCTTAACAACTCAATTGGAAAACTGAAAACTAATAAATGAATTCAGTAAAGTTACAGAATACAAAATCAATGTACAAAAATCTGTTGCATTTCTATATGCTATTAATAAACTATCAGAAAGAGAAATTAAGTAAACAATACCATTTACAATTGTATCAAAGAGAATAAAATACCTAAGAATAAATAACCAAGGAAATGAAAGACCTGTTTATTGAAAACACAAGATGTTAATGAAAGACATTGAAGAAGACACAAATAAATAGAAAGATATTTCATGCTCATGGATTAGAAAAATTAATATTGTTGAAAAGTCTATTGTCCAAAGTAATACACAGATTCAGTACAATTCCTATAAAAATTCCAATTGCATTTTCCACAGAAATAGAACAAACTTCTAAAATTTATATGGAACCATAAAAGACCCTGAATAGGCAAAACCAATCCTGAAAAAGAAGAAAGCTGGAGGTATTATTACCTTCCCTGATTTCAAACTTGGGTACAGGGTTTAAAGGGGACCATTTACTGAACAACTACTATGCCGCACTACAACCTCTGAATACTACATCTCTTATTTCTCTAAGTCAGTGTTTCCTAAACTTTTGACATATGTGTACCCCTTCTATAATTTTCGTAACGCTGAGTACCCCCTGTACCCGAGAACGTAGAATTAGGCGCAGCTAAGCATGGTGCAGTGCATATCCCCACTAAACTCCCGTGCCCCCACCAAACTTCCCGTACCCCTGGGGGTACGCGTACCACACTTTGGGAAACACTGCTCTAAGTGATAGATATTGTTTCCATTTTTTAAAAACAGACAAGGAAACCAAAGTTCAGGAAAATAAATTGCTTGACTGACATTACAAAGCCAATAAATGGGGGTGGAAATTAACTCAGTCCCACATCATTTGTCTTTAAACTGGGAGCCACGTATTTTTTCCTATGCGTCATGTCTCATGCTTTCTGTGTTCTTTTCCTTTTTCCTGTTTCCTATCCTGATTCTGTTATTCACCAGTATTCAGTCTATATAATGACTTGAGTTCAGTGTCCGGGATCTTTTTTGTCCTGAATGCCAAGTGCCTCTTTCTGAGCAGCAGGTGACACTCCCGAGTTGCCCACCAGAGAGCAGACGTGGATATCCAAAGCTCACTGCCAGCTTTGTACCTTTGGGAACAGGGAATGTTATTTTAGAACTGCAGAGTCTTTTATCAAGAAAATATAGTATCCGGGACCCTGGAGAGTATTTAAAATTAGAGCTTGTTTAATTAACTCTTGTTAAGTGGCTTGGAGCCAAATATTCCTTCCAGAGTGTTACAAACTGACTTGAATTTGAATGGCGTTAGGTATAAAACAATGCAGTGTGTCTAACATTTTACTAAAACCCAAGAGAAAGGGATGCCATCCTTATTTTCATTCATTCCTTATATGTACCTTTGATAAAAAATTCACATTTATAAAACATGCAGTAGAGTATAACAATGTATCCTGCAAAAGGATTCACTATAGAATTCTGTATTTTGAGGGAAGAAGGAGGAAATGATTGAACACTTTTTACTATAGATAAGAAATCAAGTGCACAGTAAGGTACTATGTAAATTATAGTGTAAAACATTCATATTTATATTTAGAATGTATTTCAGAGTATACAGAAATTCACTTTGTTGTCCTAATCTTCATTGGCCCTGGGCCTACCTTCCCTTTTTTGGTCAGAGTCCGGCTGACCTGGAAAAACCACCCTTGGATGACTTGAGAATTGATCAAAATCCCACAGATGTCCATACACGTGTGGCAATAGTTACTAGTTGAAAATACATATCATTTAAGTCTGTAAAACTTTCCTCATCTCATTGTCATTGTCTTGACCATAGTTACCAATGGCAGTGTCCTCATGATAAAGCTACCATTTGTGCAAATACAAATGACTCTGGTCCATGTGAATCCCAGAGCTCACTAACCCATGCTAATGTGCTGCCCCGCCTCTTTTTGTGCTGGAAACCAACCTGAGAATGAAACAGCATTAAAAGGGAGACCGTCTAAGGTGGTTCAGGCTCATAAACCACACAGTAAATCCTAGCAAAGGAAGACGCTGTCTTGGAAAAGAGAGCATCACAAATGAAAGGCAACCATAACTTCTGTAGCTTCATCTGCCTTTGTTAAAAGACAGTAGAAGCGGGTTCTGTCTTCCATAATAACACATGGATTAAGAGTCTCTTTATCCTTAATTATAGGTCTAATGTCATAGTCCTTGTTTTCCAGCTTTGATTCAGAGAATAAATTTGAACCGTGGTATCAGTTTCCAATGTGTCCCAAGGTTTTTTGAGGCCTAGAATGCTCTGGGGATGATGAAGTTTCCGTGGTTGGAGCAGATGATAGTGTTGTTGTTGTTTTTTAAAGATATAGCAAATTTGATAGAGAAGAGGAAATACTTCCAGGCTGGCATAGCCTAGTAGTTGAGTGTCATCCTATGAACCAGGAGGTCATGGTGAGATTCCCAGTCAGGGCACGTATGAGTTCGTAGGCTCAATCCCCAGTGTGGGGCATGCAGGAGGCAGCCAATCAACAATTCTCTCTCATCACTGATGTTTCTGTCTCTCCCTCTACCTTCCTCTCTGAAATAAGTAAAAACATTTTTTTTTAAAGAGAAGAGGAAGTACTTTCTATGCTCCAATGAAAATAATATAAAGGTTGATTGTTTCGATGCTTTCTTGAAAGTGTTGTGACATCATTAGAAAATATGTTATGGTCTCACAACCCAAAAAGTGGTACCTTACTACTTACTAAAAGTTATTCTTTTTCTAATGGGTACTTTTATCAGACATTGTCATCCCGCTGAAAAGTTAATGGCTTTTCTCTGAGTGGAGACCCCTGTCTCAATCAAAGCAAAACCTAGAAGAATGAAGGGAAGGAAATCCATTTATAAAATATATGTCATTATTTGTCACTTGAAATGTAATCAGCAGAGCAGCAACCAGCTCTTACGTATCAGTGGTAAGCAGCTTGGTTGGCTAAGGAAGTTTAATTTGCAGGGCAAATACTAAGCACTAAATGTTAATATTTCAGAATTGTATTGTTCAGAGTGTTTATTTAAGAATCCAGAAGCTGACTGATATCAAATCCTGGACATCAGCCTTCCAATTTTTGGAACAATATTAGATTTTCTGTGAAATGTCTGGCTTGAATTTAGCCACTGATTTCTTATATTTCCTAAGTTTGAGGAAAATGAAGAGGTAAAGAACACTTTCCGCCAGCCATCGCTCATCTGCACCCCTCCTCTCTTCCAGGTATTCCGAGTGGTGTGCATCTGTTTGGGTAATCCACCAGAGACATTCACCTGGGAGTATCGAGACAAAGATAAAAATTATCAGAAGATTGGCCCCATAACACCCTTGGAGTTTTACAGGGAACATGTCAAGCCGCTCTTCAACATGGAAGATAAGGTTGGAGACCGGCACTGGCAGCCACTGGCTGTTTACTTTCAAATGCCTGTTGACTACAAGGGAGGTTGTAAGATTCCAGGGTTAGCATGCATGATCATCAAACTAGAAACTAAACAAACTTTTCCCTGCTTCCTCTGAGGTATTTGCTGGACCTAATAAAGTTGATCATATCAGGACCCCCATTGCCGCTCTTCAGAGACTTTTCTAACTGTAGGCTCCCCTGGTTTGGGGCCTGGAATCATTCCCAGGTGCAAAGACAATAAAAGTATGTCTTACTTGGTTTTAGAGACTCCCCACCCCCCACTCTGGGGACTCTCATGGAAGGGAGCAATGTCCCATCCTAGTTTTCCCCGCTCTCTTTCAGGTCTCCTCCACTGCCTAGCAAGATGACCAGAGACTCCCTTCCTTTATTTTCATCTTGATCCTCTTATAAGTGTTATTATTGGAATCCCAACACAGTTGAGGTATTGCTAGGTGTTAAGCCCGTCTTGTAACTTGACATCAGGGATCTTACAGTGATTGGATCTCCATCTTGCCCCACTGCTTGCAATTCTTCAGAATTACTTTTGGGATAATTCTTGCCAGTGGGAAAGATGCAGCTCCCAAATGTGTCCCTTGGACCAATTAGAATATGCAAGGAACTCTTTCAGTGTGACCTTGCCACCTTTTGTTTCTCTGTTATTTAGCGATATATTTGTAATGCTTGTTCTTGTAGGCAGAGGTAATGAGCTTTGATGTAAACATATGAACTTAGAGGAGAGGTATGTGTCTTGCTTGACTTTCTTGGTTTTATGTTCTCATCAACGTGTTCTTGATCTCAATAGATTTGTTTAGTAAATGACCCTCGGCCCCAGCACAAATTCAACAAACTTTACACGGTGGACTACTTAAGCAATATGGTTGGAGGGAGAAAAACTCTGTATAACAACCAGCCCATTGACTTATTGAAAAAGATGGTTGCGGCCTCCATCAAAGATGGAGAGGTTGGTATTGTTCTGTGTCTTCTGCTTTGGGGTTAAAACCTTTTCTTCCACACCTTTGGTGTCGTAGGAAGATGGGATTTATGTTGACTTTCTTCTTTCCTCTAATTCTAGGCTGTGTGGTTTGGCTGTGATGTTGGAAAACACTTCAATGGCAAGCTGGGCCTCAGTGACATGAATGTGTGAGTGTAAGAATTTAAAATAGAAAGCCATTTGTGGGTTGTTGCTTGTGGGGTGCACTCTTGGTACGAATTGACTCGCCTGAGGTTCACCCAAAGAGGAGGGCTGGCCTGAGGGCAGGACTCTTTCTTTCCATCTTGTAGCGCTTGAAGACTCTTAACAAACTCCACATACTTCTTTGCTCTGACCTGGGAAGTCAAGATCATACTTCGTGTCTGCATGGAATTGTTGGATATTCCTAAAAAGCCATTCTTATGAGAAAGGCACTTTCAAAAGTAATGGATTGCTGTGTAAATCGGCTCAGATTTGGGAATGTAATGGAAGGTTTGCCGGTCTTCTGGTTCGCTCTTTGATCCTTCTGAACTACTTCCCTGACTTGGGTGAATTATGTATTTTTGTCTTTGTGACAATTGTGACTAATTCACACACTTTAAAGCATTCCTCCTTGTTGTCGACAATGAAGGTTCATTTGCGAATAAAACTATTCAAGATTCCTTAGCTATTGAAATATATCACTTCAGGGTTATTTATAAGTAATTGTTATAGGAAGTTGAGTAAATAACTTTATAGTTAGCAAAAGGAATCTGCTAAAAGAGAGAATTCATGATTTTTTTTTTTAACTTTGAAAATACTCTCCAATATTTTTGATGTTTTTTAAATTTAAATTTCATAGTCAGCAGTGGTCTGAATGGATTAAGAAACTGGGTTGCTTCTACCAGCTTAAAGGACCATTTTTAAAGAAATTACTTTTAAGGCTTTTTTTTTTTAAGTTTTATTTCCAAAATAACAATCCAGGCTCATCTTGTCAACTTCTGAGATGGAAAGTTTGTGTTTTCTGGAGTACTCTTGTGACACGAGAGAATGGAATGCCATTGAAAGACTGAATCCTGCACGTATTCAGTTCTCTGAAGAGCTTCAGCCCATATTTACGTGGCGCTATTGGGCCTCTTTTGTGTCTTCTGCAACCAGAAGCTATTTTCCCCCCTTGATTGTACTCTCTTTATTCTGTACTGTCTTTTTTTCTAGCTATGACTATGAGTTAGTGTTTGGTGTCTCCCTGAAGAACATGAGCAAAGCTGAGAGGTTGACTTTTGGTGATTCACTGATGACCCACGCCATGATCTTCACTGCGGTCTCAGAGAAGGTATGACGCTCAGCATCCCACCACGGTGTTTACCCAGATGGACCTGCATCCTCCTGTCAGGGCTTCATAGTGTAAATGTTCTTTGTGAAAAGTTAGCTTCCAAGCAAGACATTGTACCTCCGCCACACGAGGTTTGGCTGCAACTCAGAGGTAGTGAAAATAAGAACTCTCCGTGAGGAGCGGAGTTTGGGTCAGCAGGGAGTAAGGAAGTAACTGCTCTTCTGTAACTTGGAAAGTTCTTACCTTGGTGTGAAGGGAACTTGGGAGAAGTGAAGATAACTTCTATTGAATGAGGATTGAAATGAGCCCTGAAAGTGTTCATATCTTGATAACGTGTGTTCAGACTTACCTTCCTTTCATTTGTTATTCAGATTCTTCTGCAGTAAAATGTCAATAACAGTAATTTGTGGACTCCATGCCCATCCATTACTGGATTTATGCAGAGCATCAGGAAATTGGATGTAAAGTATTTTGAATTTCCTATGAAATACTCTGAATAGTAATATCACTATTCCTAGGACACACTGTTGGAAACAGCAGCTGAGACTTCATTTTTCACAAAGAAGCCTCCCCATTTCTAGGCTGTAGAAAGGACATTTTACACCTGTGCTCAGGGATCATAAGGAAGAAAAGACTTCAAACTACTTAAATTCTTTACTACCACAAGCAAAAGTATTCTTTTTCCTACAGAATTCCTGGAAAGAAAGTCATAAAATAACGACATCAGAAGGAACTTTTCATAAAATACCATAAATAATAAAATACTAACGTAAATATAATACTACTAAGATACTAAGTTGTTCATAGTTATGTATGGACCTACTAAATTCAATGTTTATAACTAAAGTTCCTTCACTTAAAGTTAAATTATTTAAAAGATTGTTAAAAACAAACTAAAGACCTTGTCATTTCTAGGAGAGGTTTGGCTTTTCATTTTCCATCTCTGAAATAGAATATTCATGTTTTTCAGAATGAATAATCATACATACTTATTTAGAAATAAAAATAGTACATACCTTATCACTTTCTCTGGAACTTTCGCTCTTTTGTTGGCATGGTTTATTAACCTGCTGTTTTTTCTTCGGAGAGACGGAGCTCCCTTACATGCTAACTCTGATAGTGTAAAGCAGAATTTATATTACCTCATCTGGAATTTTATAATAAGATTGTTCTCTTCCCTCCAGTTTGAGGTTTCTTTTTTAACCCTCACATGAGGATATGCTTTTCTTCATTTTGAGAGAGAGAAAGAGAGAGAGAATCATCAGTGAAAGAGAAACGTCAATCAGTTGCCTCCTGTATGGGTCTTGACTAGGGATAACCTAGATGTGTGCCCTGACCTTCAAACTTTTGGCATTTTAACTGAGCCACCCAGCTAGGGCTCCAGTTTGTTTTGACCACTAAAACTAGTTTGCACTGCATTTGAATGGTAATGCGAAGATAAGTGCTGGCTGCTGTATTCTGGAATATTCTTTCTTATTGCTGATTTCTTAGAATCCCTATGAGGAAGGTCCAGATATTATTCTATATTGGTAGTTGACAGAGAACATCTTGATCTAGGTCATGTGGGAATTCATTGGCAAAGGAAAGAAGAGGAAGCATTTTCAGACTTATTATAATAGTGACCTTAGGTAATATACATTTTGACCGTGGTACTTAAAGGGAAAGTAAAGATGGACTAAAGTGTGAGGAAAGCAGAAAACCAAAACAGACATTTAATAGGTTAATCTTAGAATATATAGTTTATGATGTAGTTTTAAAGGTACCTAAGGCTAAAATTAAGGGGTAGTACAGATAAGGAAGTTTGAACTTGTGGGTTTGGTTGTTGGCTATTTCTGAGACCGAAAATTTCAGAAATCCAAGAAACCTGCCAAGAATAGAGTCAAATTCCATGTAGAGACTCATGCAATTATGAGTTGACAGATGAAATCATTAGGAGATAAATACGGAGCCAGCCTCTTCTCATGCTACAAAAATTTGTTGTTTTGACATAAGTGAATGCCCTGGCTGAGCATGAAGGAGAAAAGTCTTTTCCCAAACGGAGCCTTTGTCCCTCTCTGTCATAATAGTAAAGACTAGAGTGAAGGCTTTTATGATGCGTATCAGTGTCCCTTTAAGAAGATGAAAATTGAGCTTATTTTATTAATGAAGATAGAAGAGAGAGAACAGTATACTGCCTGGATTTTGTTTTATGAAAACAGTCTTTCTACTTTTGCTTAGCCATTCAGTCTCTATTGTATTAAATTTAATATTAGTATAACTGAATCAGTAAAAGCACACATTTGGTGAGTGTCAGTACTTGGTTCCTTTAAGTAGAAAATTAGGCAGTATGATGAGAATGTGATTGTTTTCTTTCTTAAACTGACTGGATCTTAGAATAATTTCTAAAATAAATATATTGGAATGCCTTTGCAAAGAATGCTAGCCAGTTATAAGCAAGAGTCCTGGCTTCTGATGGTGTTCACTGCTTTTAATAATTTAATATTTCATTTTTCTTAGTCAACTAGCATTTTAATATACTTGTTTCTGTATAGAATGCCTTGTAAAGGAGAAAATAATATGATTGCTTTGTTAGGTTCATTGCATTTTTATCCCACGAGTGTCAAACCCTTGTATTGGAGTATCCCTTTAGTTACAGTAGAAAAGACATGGCCCCGTCACGTATGTGTATCATGGCTGTGTAGAGGAGGCTGTTTCTTCCTAGTGGCTGAAGAAAAACTAAAATTAGCATGACGCATCAGCTGGAGAGATCCGGTTTCAAACTATCCACTCTTTTGCAGGATAATCAGGATGGTGTATTCACGAAGTGGAGAGTGGAGAATTCATGGGGTGAAGACCATGGCCACAAAGGTAACACCAACTCAGGGTGCCTGGGGTCTGCTCTGCGGTCTGTCTTGGGAGATATGGGTAGAAAGCAGCCCTAACGAGGGGGATTTTTCAGTCATGGGTCCCATTGGATAGAGTCTTCTAGGGAGAAATCCGAGGATCCAGTTTGCCCCCAGTATCCTCTTGACAAAAGTAACGTGCCTGCACTCCCCAGGTTGACCCTGAGACCAGAATGTGCTAGCATTAGTTCCGAACCGGCTGACCCTATTAGAACTCTTCGTTCCGGAACACCTTGGCCAGTGAGAAGGCTGAGTGCCCTTTGCCAGGACGCCTGCTGTATAGCACCGGGTGCATTTTCATCTACTGCACTAACTCTAGACGTCAGCCTCTGAATGGGAAAGCAGGATTGTCAAGAAACTTTAGGTATTTTTTAGAGACTCTAGGAGTCTTTCCCTCTTTTCTAGAGGAAAAGAATGCTTTGGTTACTGTTTAGAACTATTTTATTCTGACAAATCAAAACCCAGGCAGAAGTCCTAAGTAAATGATAATAATTAGACTTAAAAAAAAAAAAAAACGCCAACTACACATAACATAGGAGTTGTAGAAAAATAAAAATATATAGGTAGATAAAAAGAAAAATATAAAAATCTAATAGTACCACCCACAGATCCCCATTAACAGTTTAGGGTAATTTTTTTGTGGCAAATTTTTGAAACCATGTTTTTAAAGACTGTTTTTCATAATAAGTAAAAGCCTTTTAAGGAGCTTTTATGCTTTAATTTTTAGGGTTTCAGACCAAAAGTGGTGACCACGACTGTAGAGTATTATGCATGTGCACGTGTATTTGCGTGTGTGCTATGTGCTGGTGTTATTTTGCAGCTGTTCTTTTTCAGATTTCATATTCCTTACTTTCAGCCAATGGATTCAGGCTAGGAAAAACACGTGAACCACAGCTTACTGGGCTAGATAGAAGCCTGGGAGAATGTGATAGGGAAGCTCGTGAGATTCCCAGACACTTGGAAGTTTTCTTTAAAAAAAGAAAATAGAGATCGCAGCAGCTCGTTGCCTTGTACCTCCCTCTGTGTTTAGAACAGTGATTTTTTCCAGCTATGTTCCTCAGAGCGTTAGGATTCCCAAAGGTGAAAGATGGAGGAGGAGGCGGAGGGTGCTGGTCTAGAATTGAGCAGATGGAGCTTCAGTAGTTTAAATGAGAAAACTTCTGTTTTAGCCTGTTAACTTGAGTTTTGAACTTGACAGTATTCTGCGATTGGGCGGCAAAGGCCTATATATGATGGCCAAAACCTGAGGCCATCTGTCGTCCCAGGTCTTCATCTCCCCATGAAATGGTCATTGGTGGGTTTTGGCTAACTGTCCCTGGGATCTGCTGTGAAACTCAGCAGCTCAGTGTTTATATGTAAATAAGCACAAGTGTTATTAGAGCATTTCTGTTCATCAAGATAGTTGCATGTCCCCCTTCTGTGATTTCTGTAATTCTGTGATTCCGTGGAGCTTGTTAAATTACTGTTATGTATTAGAGTGCCACGTATATTTTTTGCTTAGAAAAAACTTTTAATCCTCACCTGAGATATGGTTATTCATTTGAGAGAGAGAGAGATTAAAAAAAAAAAAAAAAAACCAGAAACATGAACGTGTAAGAGAAACATCACATCCATCAGTAGCCTCCTGCATGCATTCTGGCTGGGGTTCGAATCAAAACCTTTTTGGTACATAGGACAATGCTCCAACCAACTGAGCCACCTGGCTGGACTGCAACGTATTTCTTAATTGGTGATTTCTTATTTATAACGTTTCAAAACATAAGATATTACTTCAGATGAACCTCATAGCTCGTTTCATTTTGGTCTGATTTGGTCCCTGTATTTGGGTTTGTTATAGAAGTTAGTGTCTAGGAAAAGGACTTAAGTTACGATTTGTTTAGATGAGCCTGGATCAGTTGGCTTGCTTCTGTAACATATTTCTATCTTTAATAGTCACTGAGTTTGTAGATGGCATTGAGGTCCATTTAAGAGAGGATAAACACTTGTAAAGCCATGCAAATACTTGGTGTTTTGAATAGTGTGAGTTATTGTTTTTATTACTTTGAACCTAAATACCTACTCTTAATAAAGAGGATTCTGGCCACTTTGCTAATTTTCTTTCCATTCATCTGTACTTCTCTACTCCAACTCAGTGCAACTTTTGTTTTTGCTAATTCTTTCTGTTATTACGGTCGCCTCTTGGTGTCCTCAGGGAATTGGTTCCAGGACTCCCTCAAATACCAAAATCTGCAGCTGTTAAAGTCCCTTATATAAAATGGCGTTTTGCATAAAACCTACACACCCCCTCCTTATACTTTAAATCATCTCTAGATAGTATATACTAGTACATAATATAGTGTAAATGCTTTGTAAATATCTGTTATACTGAAACCTTTAGGCAATAATGACAAGAAAAGAAAGTCTATGTTTCATACAGACACAACCATTGTATGCCTAACTGTATCAGCAACAACATCACTTTCCCCCCCCAAAATATTTTCTATCTGCTGTTGGTTGAATCGATGGGTGCAGAACTGGCGGATACAGAAGGCCGAATGCTAAAAGAGCTGAGAGGTCTTGATCCCGATGATCTTCCTGTAATCCTTCCTGGTGAAATCTGCAGCTATCCAGTTTAGAGTAAAGTAATTTTTTTGTTTTGTTTTTTGAATAACCAAAATGCCTGAGATTATACAGAGCAAAGCATTTCAGTAGAGAGCCAAGAGATAAGAGATTGAACTGAGTGGGGGTAGGGAATAGTTCGTTCAAAGCCAAAATAAATTATTCCCATATATTTCTTGGTAATGAAGACTTAACAGGAAGGAAGGAAAGAAAACATGATCTGATTTAGTTGGCACACGTGGCCTGGCCTTTGGAGCATGTGTAGCATGTTATTATACTGGTGATGTGTGTTTATCCCAGCAGGCCTTCCTGCCTGTCATCCTGGCTGGTATTGGCAAGCACGCCTGAGGCAGAGCCTCTGTTTGTGTTCTCTAGGAAGACGTGACCACCTTAAACAGCATTGCTGGCATTTTGCTTTTATAGATAACATTGTTCATAGTTTGTTACCATTCTCTTTGTGATTTCTGCAGGCTAAGATAGATGGTTTCTGCGTGGCTGTTGTGGTTCAGTGGTTGAGTATCCACCCATGAACCGGTTAGGGCACATACCCAGGTTGTGGGCTCGATCCTCAGTAGAGGGCGTGCAAGAGAAAGCCAATCCATGATTCTCTCTCATCATTGATATTTCTCATCCTCTCCCACTCCCTGCCTCTCTGAAATCAGTAAAAACTGAAAAAAAAAAAAAAAAAAAAAATTGATGGTTTCTAAAAAAACAGTATTAACAATACAAGCTAGAGGTAAAGAGAAGAGAGGTACCGGGGCGTCCTTGCCCTCCACCCAGTCTTGGCTTTAGTCTTTGCTCATTGGTCATGTTTCATGGTTCTTCCGGTCCAGAGACCACTGAGTAAATCATTCAGATTATGCTGACATTAAAGGAGAAATTAATTCTTATCTTACTGGACCCTTTGGATTACTTCATGTTGGTGAATGCTAATTCCTCAGGACTGAAAATTGGATGCATATCTAACATATTGAACAAGCAACCTGGTTTTCTTTCCTCCCCTGCTTCTTGAAATACTTGACTATGCATTTTGTAACTTGTTTATAGATTATGCCAGAAACAGATTTCAAATTGGATAAAGGAGCAGACCTTGGATTCAGACTTCTTAATTTCACACAGGCGGGTTCCCTAAAAATGTACATTACCTGTAAAAGATGACTGATTATTTGCAGACGTGTTTGAGATTCAGTTTTTGGATTTCTAGCACAAATATAGTAACTTACAGACAATGTTGAGCTGAATCTGCTGAAACGAGAAAATTACATGAGCTAAAAGCAGAGGCTTCTGGTTGCCTGGAAACGGGCCGGACACAAATCTGTCATGTCACCTCAGGGTTTCCCTGCCTCTCCAGGCTTGGGATACGTGCCGCTGCCTCCCAGCGTGGGCACCTGAGCTCCTGCTCATCTCCATTTTTATTCACTCGAGAGCCTGCATGACTGGGCTAAGAATAGTGTGAGTGGCTGAAACCGGTTTGGCTCAGTGGATAGAGCATCGGCTTGGGGACTGAAGGGTCCTGGGTTCGATTCCGGTCAAGGGCATGTACCCTGATTGTGGGCATATCCCCAGTGGGGGGTGTGCAAGAGGCAGCTGATCCATGATTCTCTCTCATCGATGTTTCTAACTCTCTATCTTTCTCCCTTCCTCTCTGTAAAAAATCAATAAAATATATTAAAACAAAAAAAAGAATAGTGTGAGTGGAGCAGGAAGCATGTGCTCTCAGATTGACTGCTGCTTTCTTATCAAACGGCGTGACTAGGCGAGGGCTACTGACTCGGAGAGGAGGCAACTGTGGGAAGAGACCTGAAACCAGGCGTCAGTTTCAGGGAGAGATCCCCTCCCACTTAACTCAGATTTGTGTGTGTGTGTATTGCTTTTTCCTGTAGAGAGGATCTGTTCTTTTCACCACATTGTCTCCAAGCTGTGTGTGCATGGGTTTGAGAAGATTAGGGACTTTAAAGCATAGAGCCAAACTACAATGATACACATCCTGGCAATTCCTTTTCTCTGGATAGCCTTGGTTATGGCATTGAGTCTGTCTAAGCCTTAGTTCCCCTGGCTATAAAAAGGGGGTAATGGCCCGGCCCGTTTGACCCAGTGAATAGAGCGTCAGCCCTTGGACTGAAGGTTCTGGGTTCGATTCCAGTCAAGGGCATGTACCTTGGTTACGGCCTGATTTCTGGCCCTGGTCGGGGTGTGTGTGGGAGGCAACCAATCAATGTGTCTCTCTCACATCAATGTTTCTTTCTGTCTCTCCCCCTTCCTTCCACTATCTAAAAAAGTCAATGGAAAAAATATCCTCAGGAGATGATTAACAAAAAGTAAAAACTTTTATAAATGGGGACAATAATCGTACCTACCTCCGTTGTT